AAACTTCCTGCTTTATGATTAAAGATATTTTCAACCTTTAAAATAAAAGATTTGCTTTGAAAACATTTCGTCAGGTTATCAGCTTAACGTTTTCACTAACTTACCCGACGACAGCAGTGTGAGCAGGAACAGAGTGGCCAGTGCTGCACGCTGAAGCTCCATGGCTGAGTGGAAGTGAGAGGTCCAGAGCCCTTTCACCCACCGACCTCCTGCCAGAACCCAAGAGGCAGAGTGACAAACAACAGCTGCAGACACACCGAGCAGAAAATAGAAAGCACAGAGCAGGCCTGAGCCGCCGGCTGCTGTCACCTCCACCCCGTACGGGAAACAGAAAGAGCCACGAAGAAAGTCGGATACACTCATCGCAACACAAGAGCTGAACGTTCAGATTCACACGAGAAAACTGTGGACACAAGTGTCATAGCAGATGTCACAGTGGACCTATATTTGACGTCTCATATGTAAACTGTTACCAGTCTGGACACTGATAATAAACATGGAGTTTTGAATTATGAGATCTGAATAAGTTAAAAAAAACAACAACAACACTCAGTTTGAGACACTTTTTTCACTCTTGGGTCTGAATGATGTCACAGACAGGCGATATTCAAACACCAATAAATATGAAAGCAGGTACAAATAAATCGATCATCCCTCTAATTTATATTTGGGCAGAAAAAAAATCCTGATTCCTGTTTCTCCCTGCTGACCTGCTGGATTCCAAGCTCATACCATTACATCGTTAGTTACTATTATTCTAATGTTTTCACAGTAAGCTGTGTTTGACTCTCGTGGTTCAAGGTAACTTTATTTATACCCACAGGCAAGAAAAATGACAGCATTTGGCATCCCTTCAAAAACACACATACCTAATAAAAATATAAACCTCACTGTAGCACATGTATAGTAATTTAAACATTTCGAATCAAAAACAAAAACTGTCCCTGTTGCTGTCACTGAATTAAATAAGCACTAAGCTGTTTTTATAACGCTTTGTCCTGCATC